GGAACCCGCCGAGAGGCAGACGGGATGGTGGGGAGAGCAGCAGCGGCGGGAGGTGGACCGGGTTACACAACGATCCAAGCTGCCGCTTTCTGAAATCTACATTAACTTTGAAACGGGATTATGAAAGGAAACCCTCCAGCATGTCTGATCCGAGTCAGTGGTCTGCGGTACCAAGCCAGAACAAGTCCCATTTTGTTCCGGGAACGCTGCTAAAGCGCTCGAAAAGGTAGTTATCAAGAGTTTGACATGGAGGTTGAGGTAGTTTGGCGGTTTGTTTATGTTTTTTACGTTAAAAGGCATTTATAGATATCAGTGTTCATGTTGCAGCTAGTCTGAATTCAGGTTCACTCTTATTTAAAGCTTCCAAATGGACGTTGTGTAAAAACAGCAGAAGCTAGGTCCTCTCTGTTCCTCACAGGAATGTGCTGTAACATTAATCCTGTGTTCTTTCACTGTAACGCAGGAGTTTGTTATATACACAGCTTTTGACCATACATTACTAAATGTAGCTACTATAGTTTGCTCCACGGTTAATATATTATCACAGTAACTACAGTACTACAGTATTGAGTTTTCTTTGTTCAAATGAAGCTAGATGTAACATTACAGCACAATGGATAAAGCCAAACTGTAGGTTCACTTTCCATTTCATGGAGTGTCACACTAATGGAAGATGAAACATGCACAAATAGCCTATATAGTATTTGCACTTATGTGTTTACAATGCTGGCTGCTTAGGTGAGTTTAGAGTGCAGTTAATTGTCTGTCATGTTTACTGTAAGAGTACTGGAGGTAAACCCTGCAGCTATTAACTGTCTCATGCAGGGTGTATCACTGCTCACTGTGGACTAGGGCTGCAACTAGTGATTATTTTCATTATTGATTGACCTGTCAGTTATCTTTTTGATTAATAGTTACAACTGAATGACAAATCACAATCTCCCAGAGCCCCAGGTAATGTCTTCAGGTTGCTTGTATTGTCTCCCTAACAGTTCAGAACACAAAGATATTCAATTGGCAACCATAGAAAAAAGGAAAGCTGAAAATCCTCATCAATTGAAGTAGATTGAAAGGGCTGTAAATAACATTTAATCTGTCTCTTCATTATGTTGTTGGTCAACATTGGTGTTTATACAGTTGTAGAACACTGATGCCCTGTACAAGAAGGGCCAGAGCCATCTCCACTTTTTGAGGAGGCTAAGGTCCTTTGGCATGTGCGGGGCACTCCTTCAGACTTTTTATGATACTATAGTGGCATCTTCTGTTTTTTACGCTGTTGTGGGCTGGGCCGGAGGCAGCACGGACAGGGACAGAAAGAGACTAAACAAGCTGGTCAAGAGAGCTGGGTCTGTCCTGGGCTGCCCCCTGGATTCCATCGAGGAGGTGGCGGACAGAAGGATGCTGGTAAAACTAACATCCATCATGCACGACCCCTCCCATCCCCTGTACCACACAGTAGAGGCTCTGAACAGTTCCTTTTGCGCAAGACTGTTACATCCCCAGTGTAAGAAGGAGCATTACTGTAGGTCGTTCCTCCCCACAGCGATCAGACTGTACAATACATCACTGCAGGGATAAGCTAGGTGAAAGTATGAGGGATTATGTAATAGTCAACTGAGGTGCAATACTCAAATCCTGGGGTAAAATGCATGGTTAATATGCACATATGTAAATTCTGTTCTTGATTATTCAAATACTTGATTCTGTCTTTTTGAGTACTTGGAATTTATTTATCAGGATGTGTGTGTGGTGTTTGTTTCTCATGGTGTTATGCTGTCTATTCTCTATTGCTGCTTGAGGTACTGAAATTTGTTTATCAAGATATGTGTGTGGTGTTTGTTTCTCATGGTGTTAATGTTGTTCGTTCTCCATTGCTGCTGAAACACTGAAATTTCACCATTGAGGGATCAATAAAGTACCTACCTACCTACCTAGAATATAATAAATTGTCTATCACAGTGTGCCAGAGCCCAAGGGGGTGTTTTGTGTCTAACCAACAGATCAAACCCAAAATACTAATTTTACTTGGCTATAATGCATGACAAGTAAAGAAACAAATTATCACCCTTGAGAAGCTGGAAACAACTATGTTTGGCATTTTTGCCAGAAACATAATTATCTAAATATTTGCATTTTTTCTCGGTTGATTATTCACCGAGTCATTTTAGCTTTAGTAACAATAAAATGAGAATGTTGCTAGTCCAAGTTTGCCCCTTCTCTTCAGGACCGGAGGATTATTTATCCCTCCCACCCTTTACACACAAACACACACACACACACACACACAAGGCGGTGAACATCTGTGGCTCAAGCTGGGCCTGCTGTTGCTGTCGCTGCATACACTGAGTGTGTTGACAGGAGGTTTCCTCTATGTGTTTTGGCTCTCATCAGTTTTCCCCTCTTCATCTAACATGATCCTGCTGGTGTGCCCTGCATTTGCCTGCAGATTAGAGTTACATAAACATTTCTCAAGGCAGAGCTGCTCTGCAGGTGGCAATCATTTCATCAGTTGAGTTAAGTCTCAGTGGGCACAGACAGAGAAAGCTCAGTTATTCTAGCTAAGTATCATAAGCCTCACCTGTACAAGACCATAAAGTTTTTTTTTTTTTTTGCTAACTGCAGAAACTGCAATTGTGCAAGGACATTCATAAACTTTTAATTTGCTTGTGTTTGATAATGCCACCCCATCTGTAACACAGATGCATTGTTCATTGTTGCTCAGAATGTGAGCTGTGAGAGTAATGTGATCAGCATTTTTTCACTATATTTTGGTCATTTATCAATCAAACACTTAAGTGGGAAACAGAAAATCCCAACCAAAAAAAGAACAGCCAGTTTCAGTCCTAAAATAGGAAAAAGAAGGAAGTGACATTCTTATACTTTTATAGTAGTAAAGTGCAGTATAGTGTGTGCCAGTGTGGCATTGCCAGCTGTTCACACCCTTATTTACCTGGTATATTTAACAAGCAAAAGCTACAGCTTCCAACTGGAGGTAAACTGGTTTGCCTGCCGAATGAAACTAGGCCTTTGAAGACATGTGCCAATGCCACATTTGTTGGACACACACACCCCAAAATCCAGTTTGTTAGTCAAAATAGCTTAAATTAAAACTAAATAGATAGCAAAAGGCTGCCATACAGTGTGGTTGTTAGTTGCAACCGACCCATAATAATCATGTTCTAATTGCACATTCACAGCACTATAATATTTTGATGTCAGTGTATAGTGCCCTTGTCATCATGGGTTTGGGGTGATGTGGCACTGAGACAAGAAGGGACCCCAGATTCTCTCATGTCCACTTTGTTTGCCAGGCCTTTCCAGGCGAAGGTGTTCCATTTGTATCACAGACACCATTTGCTTTAGCCAATGTTCAAAGCTGGTTGTAGTGGTGGATTTCCAGGTCAACAGTATTCGTTTTTTCGCAGCCACCATCCCAAGCTGCAGAGCTGTCTGCACGTCAGACATAAGTCCAGGGGTCTCTGTGGAACATCCATATATTGCAAGATCATGATTAGGTTTGATGTCCCTGGAATAGCATTTAGAAAACCATTTGAAAATGGCAGACCAAAATCCAAACCGTTGTGGACAAAACCAAAAGAGATGAGCTAAAGAACCCTCAGCAGAGTTACATTTATCACATTGAGAGGACACTGATGGAAAGATCTGGCTCAGCTTTGTCTTTGAGTAGTGCAGCCTGTGAATTACCTTATACTGAATAAGTTTGTAGCCGGTATTAATGAAGCAAGAATGAACCTGAGTCAAGGCTTTCTCCCAAAGCTCCACTGGCACGTCTGCATGTAAATCTTTTGCCCAGGCTTCATGAAGATAATCAGAGGAGACCGGAGTGGTGAAGCAGTCTACAAATTTTGAAATTAAATGTTTGGAGTCACGAGCAAGCAATAAGTTGTCATAGAAAGGGTAGGGAGATGGAAGAGATTCAAATGCTGAAACCTATGTTTTACAAAATCCCTTATTTGAAGGTAGTGAAAGAAATGTGAATTTGGGATATCATACTTGTTACATAATTGAGCAAACGATGCAAAGTACCCATCAATATACAGATTTGACAAAGTTGTAATACCTTTCCTCCTCCAGATTGCGAACGCTCCATCGAACCGGATGGACTGCCCGGATTTGAATAAGGGGTTTTGACAGATGGAAGCATATGTAGAGTCTCTAGGAATCCTATTGGCTACTTTAATTTGTCTTAAAATTAGCAGTGAATTCCTTAACACAAAATTTGTCTTGAGTTGATTTATCTAGAGTGGGAAATGAAAACAACCATGTGCAAAGAGAGGCATTATCAACAGATGATGTTTCAAGTTGTAACTAAGAGGGAATGTTCTCTTGTCTCTCCTTCAATGAGTCTCCATGATTCCATTAGGTTTTTATTTTATTCCAGTGAGGTTAGCAAGCAGTGCTGCACAGGAGATTGGACGTCCCCATTTATGACAACACCCAGTTCATACCTAGCCTATTTGTGGTTTGCACACAAACACCACTGTGTTTTGGTGTTTTTCAGATGAATTTAGTGTGCTTCAACAGTCAGAGCATAATGGATCACAGTCTGTGTCTTAATCTGCCCAGACTATCACGAGTCTTTTATGTCCTCAAGCTGCTGTACAATATACACAGAAACATACACTTGGGCATAAACGCAACTTGAAACACTGCATGAGTCAACCACAATTATAGGTGGATCAGCGTAGGGCCAAAATGATTACACCCATCTTAAAGGCATACACCAGGTTGTTTGTCTCTAGTTTAGCTTCAGTGTAACTTATTTAATGAATGAGAGGGACATCAGAATTATTCACATGTTCATAGGTGATATTTTTTTCTGTTGCTCTCTGCTAACATGTTAGCAGATGCCAAGATACTAAACAACAGTTTGAAGTTACTTTTATAAGTGAGAGAAGGAGAATTTGAGGTAGCAGCTTTCTGGAAACTGGTGGGGAAAAAAAGGCAATGCTCTGTATCAGGACTGATGAATGTAACAAACATTACAACACATCTGGCAATTCTTTGTAATTGGTGCTTTTTAATGGTGCTACGACAGATATTACTGAGATGTTTTTCGTCTTTTCACCCCTTTACTCTTTGTGCTACAGCTGTCGCAGCAGCAACAGGAAGAGCCTCGGTGTTGGGACACCATCACCCACACTGTCCCGGCCACTGTCACCGCTCTCACTCCATACTGGTAAGATCCATTTCAGTATTTTGTAGTTGCTAGAAATATTTATATGATATTTTAGAAAAAATGGTCAAACCAGTCTGATTCCAGCTCTTGTAATGTGAGCACAGCAGGATGGACTCATAGGTGCACGTTAGCGTGCACCTACTGTTTAGGCACAGCTTGATACTACAGCTGATACTGATACTGTCACACCCAACATGCTCGGGTTTCTTGGTGTTATTTGATGACTCTCAGCTTAAAATGATGCCATTCTCGCCTGTTTGAGATGAAATGATGCACCTAAAGCACATGTGATGTGAAAACCTGCTTATCAAACAATTGCCATTAAGTAAATTATCAACAGAGTCAGTAAGATTATGACTGTGTACATATTATTGCACAAAATACAGAGAATTTTGAATATCTTTTCAGTGCAGAAGTGTGGGTGTTAATTAGTGAGGGTTTGAAGAAGCAGTGTGAAACTGGGGGAAGTACAGACAGAGGGGAAAAGGAGCCATCTGTGTGTCACGACCCAAGGTTTTATCAGCTCACTCACGAAACTTCCTTACTGTTACAGTCAGATGTACTGCAGAGAGGTAATTATTGTGCAGATTCAAAAGAGTGATTGAATCCTCAAGACCTTATTTTCATTATTCAAGACAAACACATTTAAGCTTCATCTGAATGTTCCCAACCGATTCAAAGTTTTAGTGCAAGGTAAAAGAAATTGCTGTAAATTATTGAGACTAATGACAGAAAGTAAAGATCACAATTAGGGTTAAAACTGTTAGTTGATTTTTGATAATTGATTGTCATTTTTCAAGCAAAAATATCAAACATTCCCTAGTTTGTGGGTTTTCAGCTGATTGGATAATCAAAACTATTCGAAGAGTTGAACTTATGCTTTTAAAAATTGTAACAAACATCTTCATGATTTTCTGACATTTTATAGAACAAACATTTAATCAATACATTTTGAAAGTAACTGGTGTATTAGTCCATAATGAAAGTAATCAGCAGAATATAATACGACACAATAATAAGTAAAGTGTGTGCATGTTTGTTTCCCCATAATCACTCTGCCTTAGTTCAGCCTCTGCAGAACATCTGGACCGACCCTTGGCAATTTTTTCATGTTACTAAAGGAAACTATAATTAAAACTTGAATATTTTAGGTTGTCAGCTTTAATGTTGAAAGTGTTAATTAAGGGGCAGTAAATTTCTAAATAGTTATTTTTGCCTTCCTTCTTTCTGATTCAGCAACAGCACAGAGAGTGCACAGCTTTTTCATGCCACCAAGCAGCTGCACTGTTGAAAAGACTGCTGCGCAAGAGCCCATGTGGATGTGTTCCTTTTTGAGCTCAAGGATTATCTTATCACAGAGTGCAGTCAGGCTCTAATTGGCTAGTCAGCCGCTGGCATCTAAATGAGCGAACTAGATGAGGCTTTCCCCTGAACTGAAACTGTAGATAGGGGCTGCAGTGTTTGAAAAAGTATGATGATACATGGAATCGTTTTGAGTTGGGTTAATGCTGCAGGGCTTTGCAGTGATTGGGCCTTCCTGCATAGATATGATGTCATCCTTTTTTGAGAAATTCTGTGCTGTTTTCATAAATGTATTATTACAGTTGTGAATAGTACCACTAGTAACTTTCCTCTTTCAGCCGCGAGCAGCCCTCTAGACAGCCCCAGAAATGTGTCGACCAGCGCCTGCCTCAATTTTCCATTTGCCCGAAGGTATGTCAACACTTCTCTCCTGAAACCTTTCTCTGCTGGAGTGATGTACATGTTTTGGCTCATCTAAAGAATCTCAAGGGTGGGATTCAAGCAAAATATGTTCTTGATGAAACATTTTAAATTGCCTTTATTCCTTTTGAACTATTAATCAAAAGGGTAGCACTTTTAAGTGGTAATTTCCTAATAATTAGGAACAAAAACAAAAAGCCCGTTTTTACCCTCATAGGGGGAATTTAACTGAAGACTTTTTCTTGCTGATTTGTACATGAGCAAAATATTGAAGTTCAAATGCAGTTTTCCACCAGCGTCTTCTTAAACATAATATTTAGTTACAGTTACAGAAGCTGTGACCACTTTTCATTCCTGAGTTTTTGTGGCTGTTCTTTACACACCCTGGTCATATGTAATTTATTAATATGAACCCGAATGAATGAAAAATGAAATGACTAAATCTAACGCGTGATCACACTCTGAGAGTTTTCTGTGTATGGGACAGAGGCAGACAGTCACAGCAGAGATGTGACTGAGGCTGACTCAGCATGGAGCGCTCAACTCCTCCGGTCTTCTTACAGCAAACTCCTCCTAAGCAGGATGAGTGCAGTTAGACAGAGGGTACCCCTGAAGCCCACTCATGAGTCATTCATCCCAGTTCCCATACCAACGTGCTTGTCTCGCTCCGGGCATGTTTAGCCTACAAGTGAGGTGGCACCTTGAAAACGCCCAGTAATAGGCAATAAAAACTCAAGTAGTTCATGTGCTTTGTGTTTAAAATCAGTGGAAATGAGAAAAATGATTCTAGTTGTTTTTCAGCCTTTAATCAGGCTTTATTAATTTAGTTATCAGGTCTTTCTGAATGTATCCTGGTGTATTTATCATTGCCCTTTAAGCTTGTTGCTTTATACTGTCACTGCAAATACAAATTCACCGCCAATTTGAATGGCGTTGTGGGAGCTTTATTTTAATCTGTGAGTTTCCTGTGGGAATTCTTTGGTAATAACTTGTTTCCTCTGCATGCAAACAGTGTGTTGAATGGTATCATAACACCTAACCCTCAGTTTTAATCCCTTATACTTTGATGTGACTTTTATTTTTAGCTGTTGCGAAATCCAGTCTGCAGACACTACAGTAGCAAGATCCTTTTGCTGGCTGTTCTTTGAAGTGAAGATTTGTAAACTATATCTTCAAATTAATTTTGTTTGCTAGCTCCTCCTTGTATCTGGACAAATCAAAATGGGCAAGGAAGGCAACATTGTCAGCACTGATCCCTCAGCTGAATGCCGGGGGTCACAGGATCATTTGTGCAAGATTGCCAAAACTCACTGAAACTCTTTCTTTGCTTTTCTCTTTCTCCATTGCTGTCATAATCTCAGTCACTTGGCTCGCGCCGACAGGTAGTTTCTTTTCGCTTTTCATGTTTGTGTTTTTAATGTTCAAGCTTCTATATGTTTGTATTTGTTGTTCCCAAAGAAAATTGGTCCTATTACATGAAGGTATTACTTGATTTTCTAAAGCGTTGCTGTGAATAACTGATGATGCAGAGAACTATGTTGTATATGATTTAGGGGGAAAACAGCCTTAAATTTCACACTCTCATAGTCACAGGATGACTTCGTTGTCTGTTATGTAAGGAGTTTGGCATATGAAATGCTAACTAATGCCTGTGCTGCTCGGCGTATGTAACACACATGTCCGTTTCTCTCAGAGCTGAGGGCCGGAGATGGTCCCTGGCATCCCTCCCCTCATCTGGCTATGGAACCAATCCTCCAAGCTCCACTGTCTCAGTAAGTCACCCCAAAATAGGGCACTGGTCTCCTTGGTCAGTACATGGCAGCCAGGCAGTTTTAACACCTCACTCAACTCAAATAACACATTCATTTATGCAATAAAGGACGTGGCGAATGCCAAGGCCGAGATGACAAACTGCTAATTGTTTTCCTCCATCATCTGCTTGAATGAGTCATTGTCCCAGTCTGTGGAACACGGTGTTGGAAATAATTCACACTGTCTGTGTGTATACATGTTTATGTGAGTGTTTGTGTCTGTATGTGTGTGTGTGTACCCTCCCTGTGTTAATTATTAGATTAAATACTTCAAGTGACATTATTTTATGACAGCTTTCCAAGAAACATAACATATTTGTCACATTAAAAATGTACTGAGATCTTGCTTTGTTAAAAATTAAAATGAAATGTAGTAATTCTCTTAACTTGTCCTTCAGCGGGATGATTTTTTTGTTTGCCGTTTGTAAAGCTGATGTAACGATTCTTACGCATACACTTTGTAAAATTAAGCCAATTAGTTGTCCCAACATTTAACCAAAGTTCTTTTGAGTAGGTCTTGAGAATACTGTATACCTTACTTTAGAATAAAGTTGTAGTTGTATTGGTTTAGTGAATGACATAGGCAGCTGTAGTGTCCATTGAACAGTGTGCTGTGTCTGTGGTGAAAGTCTACTGTGTGGAGCTGTTATAAGGATGTTTATTGGGCAAACCTGCCCAGAGGTTAGTGGGGACAATAGGGCTCTTCAGCTGCCCTCTCTGCCCTCTTTGTACTGAGCCAATAGAAAGAGACTTCACAGATGCTGTCCCTCTGGCTTTCCTCTGTTCAGAGCACATGGGCTGCAAAATTAAACGGATTGTCAGTAAAGCACTCCATAACTTGTTCACCGTTTAAAGAGTTTATTCAGCTTCTCAGCAGACATGGAAATAATTTATTGTTTAGATAATGATGCCTCTGTGGGCTTCATTAGTGTTATTATCCATTTTATGGGGGGTGGGGTGTCTAGTTTACTTTTGACTGCTGTTCTAAATCATATGCCATCTAATGTTGTGTGCCTCATTGAAATCCTCTACAGGTGTATAATGAGTTGTTTGGGCTTATGTTGGTTTCTTGCTGGTGCAGGTGCACTATGCTGTTGTTCTCATAAACTACAAAGTCAATATGAATATTCTGTTAACAGTTGGGACCATAACCGAGAAGACTCCGATTTGAGTACAGGGGTCAAAGACATTTTTATTTTTGTTGCTCTTTTGCATGTTTGCCTCTGCCCTGTTTCGACTTGAAGTGTACTTGGCTGAACACATTTCTAGTTTCTTAAACAGAGCAATGCCTCTGAAACAGTACGGTTGACAAGCTTGAAACCGTACTGTGAAAGCTGTTTCTGAATTCAACTAGCACCTTTTTAAATGTGTCTTTTGTTTAATTTCATTTTGCTCATCTTCCATGTTGACCACCAAGGCTGGAAAAGCTCAGGAAGCTGCTGGTCTTTCAAATCCCAATATGTTTTTTTGACTTGTTTTCTGCCTTTGCAAGGCCGTTTCAATTTTGGTGTATTAGTGGATATATAAATACATTTGCTATGAATATAGATGTACAGTCAGTTTTATTTTGAGTTGTCGTAGTTGCAGTGTTGAACTAAATGTCACAGTGTGCCATTGTTTATATCTTTCAGAATCTTACCTGAACAACTGTTATTATTTAGTGTTATTTATCTAAATATTTCATTGGTGTTGGATGAAAAGACGCTAAGTCTTGCTTGTGTTTTAGCTAAATTACTACGAGACAAATGTGAAAATTTGAATCTGATGAAGGTTCAGACAGCTACATTTTCTTGACTGATGGATCCATGTTTGTGCCTGCAGTCCTCCTCATCCTCCCAGGAGCGTCTTCACCAGCTTCCATACCAGCCGACACAAGACGAGTTGCACTTCCTCTTTAAGCACTTCCGAAGCACAGACAGCATTACTGATGAGGATGGCCGACCCTCGACGGTCATACGACCGCGGTCTCGGAGCCTCAGGTAGCAAATCCTGATTTGACATTGCACCCGAATCAGTATTGTTGGCTAATATAGTTTTTCTTGTAAAACATTACATATTGAAAATGGTGTTTACAAGTTAACATCTGCTCAGTATGTCAATGATTTGGATGGTTCCATCCACAAAAATGTTGATAGGTGTGGGCTAGCTGTTTTTCTTCATGTTGATGTTAGTTCTCAGGATTTCCTGACAATCTCTACATCTATTTTTTAAAATTGTTTCCTGGCCTGTAATTCATCTGATGAAATGCATTTTTGTAAAAATGCTGTAATCCCTCCTAAGGGATTAACTACATCTTTGTTGCAGAAAACAACATTTTAGGTTTGCACAGTGATTGCACATTTTGCACAGTTTGTGAGGCCCTCTGTGTCATTATGTACTGTCAGAATGACAAGATGTTTGAGCATCGCTATGACAAAGACAAACACAAGTAAACACAGCATTTGGTATCTCAAGTGCCTCTGATTGATTACACATGCTTGTTGGCCGGCAGGCAGGTGGAAATCTGACTGCAGAGCTGTGTGGTTCTGACAACTTTTGCCTGGATCTGCTCTGCGCTGTTTGTGCGAAGCCGGAGTGCTCTGTGTTCTGGCACCATGGTGTGCTGTGTGTGGGTGTGCTAGCTATCAGAGCGCCTCAGGGATCTAGCTGCTGAACTGTAGTCAAGGGTGGGGGTGGTTTAGGAGGGTAGGGGACCTGATGCAGAGAGCCACGGTGAGCTGTAGCAGTGTGTGCTGGGCGGCACCCATCCAGATAAACAGAGGCATCTTTCATGAGGAAAAAATGGCTTAGGGAGTTTGTTTGCATGTGATAGGTTTTCTCTCCATCTGTTCTTATTGAAGCTTTATCTAGCATGATATTCCTGTAAAAAAAAAATACACCTGTCTCATTGGCCTAAATACTGAAATAGTGTTGAGGCAAATGACTAACTGAGTGATGTTGGCGTCTCGCACAGTTTGGCCAGAAGAAACGCCTGCTGTCAGTACAGACACATATAAATCAGAAACAGCGAATCCTGACAGTAAAATCCACCCTGGTTGTAGCTTCAGCAGCTTAAGAGCTACTGAAATCAAATGTTGGCTCACCATATTGCTTTGGCATTTGTCACTATAGATACTGACCTCAAAAAACCTGTTTCTGTCAAGCGCAAACTACAAATTAAGAGTTGACGTGTGCATGTTTAGTGGGTGTTAGGGTGATTTTCACATGGGGCTGAACTGAATCAAATATTTGGTGTTTCTAGGTAACCAATATGAGCACCCCATCCTGTCTTCATGGCTCAGCTTGAATTGGATTGAGTACCGATAAATGTCCAAATCCATTTTTTGATGAGTTATAATATATTAATCTTTTGTTTTGCCTCTGTTGCAGCCCCGGGCGTTCCAGTGTCTCTTTTGATAATGAGATAGTCATGATGAATCATGTTTACAGAGAACGTTTTCCAAAGGTATGCTCTACATATCTGTGATTATTTGCCTTGAAATCATAAAAAGACACTATGCATCACTCTTTTTTGAGATTGTTGTTACCACACCTTAACAAAAATAACTTTGGTTGTTAGTCCGCCTCAGTAGAATCTAGAGTGTCTTGAAACTCAGTAGGTTTTTCTTTCTTTCAAAGCAGAGTATGGTATAGAAATTGAGTTTGGAAAGGCACAAATCTCAGCAGGTGGGAAATTAATTGTTTAATCACTGGTAACAACAACCATATGAATCCGCCCACAAAAATATTATTAATACTTGGTGCCCTGCATGGTAAAAATCATAAATGCTTGTGCTTTAAATGTCTTGACTTTGTATTTGTATGTGTGTGTGTTTTTTTTGTGTGCACGTCCTCCCCGCAGGCTACAGTCCAGATGGAGGAGCGCTTGTTGGAGATTGTCACCCACTGCTCTCCAGACAGCTCCCTCCCGCTGGCTGACGGAGTGCTGGGCTTCATCCAACACCAGTTGGTCGAGCTGGTCAGAGACTGTCTGGACAAGTCCCAGAAAGGCCTAGTAACTTCACGCTACTTTGCTGAGCTGCAGGAGAAGCTGGAAAAGCTGCTTCACGAGGTGGGGAAACAGCCAAATGATATGTGTCCTGCCAATCATGTGGCCAAAATGGCTTTTATATTTGCAAAAAACAAACAAACAAACAAAACTAAGATAAAACTAAATAAAAACGAGCCCAGTTGAATTGAGTGCTATAGCTTTAACCGTCAGCTGCTCAGCTCCTACATGTGAACTCTTGTGAACTCATGTGAACCTGATGCTCGGATGTGATGAAGTTATGAAAGAGGACTGATCGATGGGGTAAAATGTGCCAGCCATGTCACTCAATAACAGTCTGATAGCTAAAGGCACATACAATAGATCTATAGTGGAAAGTGTCAGTGATGGTGAGAGGTACTTTTGTCACAGGTCTTATTTGTGTTGTGATAAAATGTTAGTTTCTATAGCAACCTCTTCCCCTGTTCCTCTGCATGCTGTCAGACAGAAGGCATGGCCGACTCGCTGTACCTCCAGCTGAACTGATAAGTCTGTTCCCATACAGTGGAACAAATGCTGTCATACACACACACACACACACACACACACACACGACTCGCTCTGTGTGCCAAGGCCACTTTATTAAAAACTCTTTCAGAGATAGAATGACTTTTTCAGACATCTACGTTTTCTGTGGTTCTGTATTCATGATTTGAGGTATCTGTATTTTATGTATACTTTCATTTTGTAAAAGATGTAATTGTGATTTTGTAGGTAAAGATAAAAAAGTGTGTGTTATCCCCATCTGTAGCTTAAGGAAAAACATTTTGACAGTGTGCAGAGGCATTTTATTTATCTGCCACTTGTCACCTCAGGTGCCTCTCCCAGGTGTTTAAAAGCTTTGTGGTTTGACCTTTTACATCAGATACTTAGTAATAATGAGAAGAACCTTCCCTTCTCACTGAGCAGTGAACGTTAAAGAGCACCACCTACAGAAACTTTGTCAAAAGGCGAATCCAAAAAGCAAAGTCACAGTACAGCCTACCTAGATTGACTAACAGATGTTGTTTGGGATTTTTAGTATAGAAACAATACAGTAAAGAGCACTTAGCATGTCGTTTACCAAATAAACTTGATGCTCGTATCCAAACTGACTTAATGCTTAGTTAGCTTTTGAAGATTCTGGGTTTGCAAACGTTCAGTAGGACACATGGCTGTTTGAGAAATGAGTTTTGAGAATTTCTCACATTACCCTACTGTGACATTCACATGGAATTTTTGGTCAGGTGTGACCACAGGGTGATAAAATAACACATATTATCTTAGCCTTTAAAGAAACAGTTTGACATTTCAAAAGTGCTGGCTGTCAGATTTGTTATCTTTGAACGGTGCCAGGATTTTTCCAAAATTAATTGTCCCTAATCACCCGGTTGTAGCCTTCTGTGTATCTCACAGATGAGTCATAGTGATCTTGTTATGGTCCAGGTTATATGCATGTGATGTAGATACATATGCATAACATATCATGTAACCAATGTTTGACAGTGACAGGCTGTAACTGCATCCGTCTAGAAGACAGTCCATGGATGACTCATCAAGACATCACCCACTCAGCGATTATTCCCCTTGTTTAAAATGATGTCTTCTCTGACGTAATTTGTCAGGCAGCATGTTTTCATTTTCGCTATATGCTATACCCATCTGCTTTGAGCAGACTGTGTTTCATATTTTTATGTTTCCTCTTGCAGTGCAATGCATTGCTATTGCTGCAATGTTGGAGGAAGTGGAACGAAGGGTGCCGCTTTAATTTTTTTTACCTGGTACAACTAAGTTCTAACTCCAAAGGTTTATATCTTTTTTGTGCAACCACTTTTTAAAATTTTTATTAATTTCTCAGCTTTGAAAAAATAAACAGTTCTTGTTAATGTAGTGCATTTGAAACCTTGGTGACATATTTTGGAAAAAAAAAGGATAAATTATTGAATCCTAAAATGTGGCAACATGGAAACCAGTTTGCCTCCTTTTCTCCTTTACTCTTATATACCTTTACATAACATAAAACTATTTTTGTTTAATATACTTCCATAGCACAGCAAATTGTGCAAAAACCCAATGGTTTGCCAAATATTACATAGCAACACCTTTTGTCATTAACTTTTCAATATCACCCATTCCTACAAGCTTTTTAAAGTATTATTTTTAAGTTGTGCTGATGTATTTCCTCCTCCCTTGAGTGTTTTGTGTGGAGCCAAGTTAAACTACTGCATAAATAAACTTGACTTCTTTGTCCCTACTCTCCCACAATTTTTACAGGCCTACGAGCGCTCTGAAAGTGACGAGGTAACGGTCATCACCCAGCTGGTGAGGAAAATCCTCATCATAATCTCTCGTCCGGCTCGCCTCCTTGAGTGTCTGGTAAGCTGAGGAAGGGAAAAATCTCTTCTTGATTGAAAATGGGATTACTTTGATTGAAGTGGATAGATGTCAGCTCATGTTAAAGTAGAACTGAAGTGGGTTTCCGATCTTTATTGATACTGTGCCAACAGATCAGGATGAGCTCTGAAGGAAGACAAGACAGTGTTTCATGTTTTCCTTTCATTAGATAAAAGTTCCCAAGCGAAATGATTGTCAGTGAGGATTATCCAGAGCTTTTTGTACATTATTCCTTTAGTAACATATTGTTTATGAACTTGTTTTTTTTATGTTTGGAGCATCAAAAATTAAATTCCATTCAGTTCCGTTGTATTGGTGTGGTGAATGAAGTCTGCCTCAACAGATAAAACCAAAAATATCTGCATTTCTGTGTAGGACTAGAGTTTTACTTTGCAATGTGAGTAAATTCACTCAAAGACAGTATATGTACATGGATGGTTGAATAACCCAAATAAATTTGGTGTGAGTGTTGATGTCACATGTGATGGGCCTCCCATTCTGCAGAACCTGTCAGAAGCCCTGTACTATTAAAATACTTATCATCTTGATGCCTACAATCTGTGTTTGCTTTTACTTAAACTTTAACCGTAATTTTAAATCATCCACTCTGAATACTGGTTCAGTTAGACTTATTTTAGGCCACCCAGTTAGAGAGATACATCAAAAGTGACTTGACATGAAGCCTCTTGGATGAGAAGCTGGACATCTTTAAGACGGTTGCAGTTGCCTTTGACTGATGCAGATTAAAGACTTGCTTTTGCTGCTTCTTCCTCTGAGTTCAGTCCTGCAGGATTTTGGTTACAACCAGTTCACATTAATGAGATTTGATTGCTGTTGACAGGAGTTTGACCCAGAAGAGTTTTATCACTTACTTGAAGCAGCAGAGGGTCACGCTAAAGTTGGCCAAGGAATCAAGACAGACATCCCACGGTACATCATCAGTCAACTCGGTCTGACGAGGGACCCGTTAGAAGGTAAAGGAGTTCTCTGCTATGAAGCTTTTAATGCCTTTAATGTGGCTCAGGTGTGATGTTAAGCATTTAACTCCATTTATACTGCAGCCTTTAATGTGGCTCAGGTGTGATGTTAACCGACCTGGACCTCCTGATGGAGGAGGACAGGTTGCAGGAGTTGAACATTCTTTGTCCTAATATTAAACACACTCTCATTTCTAGACATGGTGCAGCTTGAACAGTATGATGCCAGCCCTTCAGTCTCAGTGGAACCAGATGCTAGCATGGAGGTAGTTTTTATTGTTTATATTACTGTGCCCTTTGGAAATGAGATGTTCTTAAGACATTTCACATGTACTCTTAAAATGTGTCACTAGTTTTACTGTTTTTGTTGTGGTTTCCAGAAACACAGTGACCCATTTTAATGTAAGAGTGTAGTGATACTATAAATATTTTAAGTCGGAGTGTATTTTGTTAAGTGGGTTATAGAACAAGGAGAAATGATTAAAGTAAATCACAAAATTGCTATGAAAATGATCTGGGCTCTGGGAGGATATACAATTTTTTTTATCAGTACTTTGTTAAATGTCATCGTTTGTGAGGTGTTAGTTTGTTTTTTTTGTTTTCATACCCTAAAAAAATCAAGCAGTTGGGGTAGTATCATAACAAATGCTGAATTCATATCAAGTCTGTTTTATTTACATTGCCCCAAATCCCATATTCAGATATATGGACAAAACGTGAAACCTATTTGATAGACTGTGGGTCGACTTCTGATCATAGGGTTGGCATTTTGATCCACAGTCTCTCCTGTGTCCCTCTACTGTGCTTTATTCATAACTTGCTCATAAACCGACACTAGCATCGTGTTTCTGCTTCTTTTTTTTTATAGAATAAGGCCCCACAGATGCTGACCCCAACTCGAAGAAAACCTCTTGAAAGTGATTTTGAGACCATCAAACTCATCAGTAATGGAGCTTATGGGTAAGAAGAAAGGTCCATCGTTTCATGAACCTTTTTCAGCAAACCATAGCAGCTGTTGGAGGTTGAAATAGTTGCTAAGTAACCTTTGAGTGTTTATATATATATGTGTGTGTATATTGGCTAGGTGGTTTTCAACTAATTATGCAGCAGCGTGTTGCTTTATTCTGTGACCATGGCTTAATAAAGACAGGGAGTTTCATGACTCCTTCACACTATCAGCCAGAACAGAAAATGACAGTTATCTCGATTCACCCCTGTGGGAATCCCCAAATTTTCAAAGAGAGGAGTGCCAAAACGTCATCCCCTTTGGCTATAATGGTGGTTGTGGTTTGATCATGATCCTGTGGAGGCCACTGTGCAGAGATGCCCTATCTGTGCAGTCATGAGTTGAATTACAATGAGGTAAAGGGAAGCTCAAATCTAGTGTGAAAGCCATCAAATTAGGTAGCCAGTGGAGCAGTGGAATAAACCTCAACCCTTCTTTTTGCTTGTTTTTTCAATGAGAATATTCCCTTAAGATAACAGGACTAATGTGTTTTTTGACAGAGCTGTGTATCTGGTCCGCCACAAGGAGACCCGCCAGCGGTTTGCCATGAAAAAGATAAATCGACAGAACCTGGTTCTGAGGAACCAAATCCAGCAGGCATTTGTAGAGCGGGACATCCTAACCTTTGCCGAGAACCCCTTTGTTGTCTCCATGTTCTGTTCCTTTGAGACACGACGTCACCTTTGCATGGTCATGGAGTATGTGGAAGGTAAACTAGAAAGAGGCTGCTGTGACCGATGCATTTTTCTGTTTAAACCAGTAGTTTACAGCAAGCAATAATGTTGAACTACCATAATTTCAACAGTACAAGTCTGAATCAAATTTGCAGTGTCAATTCATACTCGACAAATTGTTTGTGTTGCTTTGACAGTCAATTGGCTACTGCAACTTGGTAACAAAATATAGTGTGGGAGATCCAGTTCTTATGTTCTAACCCCTAATTTCCATGGGGTGTGGCTGCGTTGCGTTCCATTTGTGACTGTCGCTGCTGCTGATCGCTGCCAGTCTCTCTGATCTGTCTCACATGCGGCTGTCTTGTCTGCTTTGTTAAAGATACGCATATAGTCTATTTTCATTGGCATCTGACAAAGTTTGACCCACCAGTCAGATGGTGCTTTCCCCAAAGATATCTATGTGACACATAGGCTACAATAAATTTGCCCCGTGATGATGAATGTGTTGTTAACAACTGGAAAAGCCACAAATTTTTGGTACGTGTTTCATAAGGACTTAACTGTAATTGTTAAACTTGTTAATTGTAGTCTTTGTAAACTACAACACAAATAAGAAATACAACAATAAACACAATTAAAGCTGACAAAAATAAATCATTTAACTAGGAAACCTACTTACCTAGGATGCTCAAAAACAAAGAAAAATATTCTGCATGAAAAATCAGCAGCTCAGCGAGCCATTCTGCAGATGCTCTGCCAATGGACCCGGTGGGGGATGAAGCTGGACAGAGGACGGATCAAAACTGGATTTCAGACAGAATTCAACACAGCCACATCCAGTGGAAATGAGGGGTTAAGGTTTTCTGTTTTTCTTTTTTTTTTTAAGGTGGAGATTGTGCCAACTTACTAAAGAACATGGGCCCACTGCCTGTAGAGATGACAAGGATGTACTTTGCTGAAACAGTCCTCGCACTGGAGTACCTTCACAACTATGGCATTGTGCATCGGGATCTCAAACCTGACAAGTAAGAACACAAACTGACTGCCTCTTAACTCCTGATGAAGGGTGTTTTCTGTGTGAGACCAGATTTATTTATTTATTTTTCAGTCCTTCTGTATTTGCATCTGGCTGCTTGCATTTGCTTGCAGAATATGGTGAAAGTTCAAAGGGAAGGCTTTGTTAATTCTGAAGATTTTGTCTTTTCCACCCACCAGTTTATTAATCACATCCATGGGTCACATCAAGCTGACAGACTTTGGCTTGTCTAAAATTGGCCTGATGAATATGACCACCAACCTGTACGAGGGTCACATAGAAAAAGACACAAGAGAGTTTGTTGACAAGCAGGTGAGAAGGTTTCTGATGTAAGAGACAAAACATCTTTTTTTAAGAGAACAAATTACAATAATATGCAACAGCTCTGATTATGGAAGCAGTGGTGTTTGTTTGCCCGGACTGATCTGTGTTGGTTTGCTTGTGCAGGTGTGCGGCACTCCAGAGTACATTGCCCCAGAGGTGATCCTCAGACAGGGCTATGGGAAGCCCGTGGACTGGTGGGCCATGGGAATCATCCTCTATGAATTCTTGGTGGGCTGTGTCCCCTTTTTTGGAGACACTCCAGAAGAACTTTTTGGGCAAGTTGTCAGTGGTGAGTGGTGAAATGAACCAAAAGAAATGTATTACCAAACCTAGAAAACAGCGCTAATTGACATGATCTAAAAATGTTCCCATTAGGTCCCAGTAAGGGTAATAAAACATCATTGTATCTTACACTACGTTAGCAAAACTTAGTCTGTACTTAATCTTGTTCATATGAAAATGTTTTATATGTGTAAAGAAAAGGCTAGCATACAAAGTAAAAGAAATACATTATTGTCAGTGTATCTGGCTTTCGGAAGACGCTGCAATACCAAACAATTAGATTAGATTTTATTTTCTTTATGTGGCTGTTACCTTCTCCAGAAGCTATGTTATTGTTATTTACTGCTCTCATCTGTGATCCTCTGACTGGCCTGTATTTCTCTGATTTGCAGATGAAATCGTTTGGCCTGAAGGAGACGATGGCTTACCTACTGATGCCCAGGACCTGATCACCTGCCTACTGAGGCATAGCCCTTTGGACCGACTGGGAACTGGTACTGCTGAGTTTAGAGTGTTCTCCTAATATTAAAGTTCAATATAACAATTTTTGTTAATCCAAAAAAAATCAAAACAGTGACTTCCAACTAGACATATTTATTTTAAACTTTAAGTATTTATTGAAAACCATGATTTAAAAATGACAAGTCAAATGATTTTGGGAATCAATGTGAAGATTCAAATAGGAAACACGTGAACATTTGTTTAAAAATCGGATCATGGAACTTTTTCCACTTAACTGGGGTTGCAGGTGGAGCCTCAGAGGTCAAACAGCACCCCTTCTTCCTGGGTTTGGACTGGAATGGACTCCTGCGGCAGAAGGCTGAATTCATCCCTCAGTTGGAGGCGGAGGATGACACCAGCTACTTTGACAGTACGTTATAGCTGAGATTATGTCAAATTTGATCTGATTAATGTTACATCCTGGCTTCAGACTTAAAGGGCATTCAGAATACATTAGACCAAAATACTGTTTTAGCTAGTGTGACAACAAAGCGCAGCATTTATGGCAGTTGTTTACAAACAGACCTCTGCTCTGCTTCTTAGTGGCACTGATGTACGGGGATTGATGACGAAAACCATTTCAGATTGGGTTCTCTTGAGCGTATGCTCAGTGTTTGGGGAACTTCATGATGTCAAGTATCATGCTGTCAAAAGTGTTATTATGATATGCCGTACAAACGAGGACAGGTCCCTTGTATTTCCTTCTTTTAAGTTATCTGGTAATATATTTTAACTGTGTGCAATGAAGTTAAGTACTTGGGTCATGTCATCAATGATTGTTTGTCTGATGACGGGGATATATATCGGCAGTGCCGTATGTTGTATGTACAAGCTAATGTACTGGCACGGAAATTTGGTTCATGCTCGGTTGGAGTAAAATTGGCTTTGTTTAAGGCTTATTGTACCTACTTGTACACTGCTCATCTGTGGTGTAATTATAAAAAAGGGCAGTCTTTGGAAACTATCAGTGGCTTATTATGACGCCCTAAGGCTATTATTGAAAAAGCCTAGATGGACGAGTGCTAGCAAACTGTTCGTGTCATCTCGAATTAGTACATTTTCAGCTGTTTTAAGAAACCTGATGTTTAAATTTATTTGTCACTTGAATGGTTCTGAAAATCATATCATTTTATTGTTGACTAATGTTGCATACAGTGACATGCGTTTTACTTCTGCTCTCTGGAAACACTGGTATGCCTGCCTTTTAAAGGGATAGTAGTTTATGGTTGTTCTCTTGTTCTCGTTTTTATTTTATTTTATATTGTTTCTTTTAATTGTTCTTTTATTGTCTCTTTGTTCTAATTTGGACCTTGAGTCTATAATAAAGTGTCATTCATTCATTCTCTTTATTTTTTTCAAATATTTACTTCTTTGTGGGTATTTCTCTGAAAAGTTGTTTCTGTCTTCAGCACGATCAGACCGCTACCGTCATTTGGCATCTGATGAAGATGAGGAAACTAATGATGAAGAGTCTTCCTTGGAAATCAGACAGTTCGCTTCCTGGTCACATCGCTTCAGCAAGGTAAATGCTCCATGACTGGATGGAAGACCTTTGCTGGGTTTTCTCTTTGTGCTATGCATTATTAACAACCTAACTCACAACAAAATGTGTAAAGGACAGTCACAATGAACGTGTTAGTTGTCAAAACACTGACTAGTTTAACTCAAGAAAAAGATGCATGTAAAATTAACCAGTGTGCAAGATAAGATGACCAGGACCACATCTAAAAAAGCAAAGAAATGACCTCTGCCATTCCTTGCTGTACAGATGTCAAAGTAGACTGAACCTTCAGTTTGGCTGCCGTATATACAATGCATGACATCATCTGAAAGCTCTGCAACAGTCCAGAGGCCATCTCACTTTATGTATTTTCCACTGTCAGGTTTACAGCAGCACAGAATATCTGGCAACACCATCCAACCTGAGCTTCTCCTCCGATCGCAGCTACAGTGAGGACAAGGAAGACCGCGGGGACGTGGGAGGGCTCAGTCCCTCCCCAAGCCCAGCAGAGGGAAGTGTGGAGCGCAGACATGCTGGACGCATGGCCAGGTCAGCACAGTGTCAAATACATCACAGTGTATGTTATAAGCTCCTTAGCTCTTGTACTTCATCTTGTGTTTTTTGTTGTTTGTTTTTTTTTTTTGTCTTGTTTAGCACCTTGTTGCTAGGTTACTTGTGAAATGCTGCCAAAAATTGTAGGAAATGAATGGTTTGCCAGCCCTTGGAGCATTTACTTGTTTCAGTGTAAAAGCAGCAAGCAGACAAAACACAATGTTGGTGTGGTGTGATCACTTGGACTCTTGTACCAGGTGATTTACTTTTCCAACTGGTCTCTGGTTGTTTGTAGCCTTCCCCCGCAGGCCTCCTCTAGCTCCTCCCAGTCTGAGAGGAGCACCAGCCCCCTGGTGATGAGCAGCACCCACAGCCTGGACACGATGCCCCGCTTCGCCCTCTCCACAGATGAAGAAGGTAAAACCCCACTAACGTCTTTATGTTTCTGTTCATGGTGTGTTTCAGTTCTTGCATATTTACATACTCTTTACCTTTTAGCTGTGTCACCTACAGCTGAAATGGTTGTTTCGAACCTTCGGAGGATCAGGATTCGCAGCAACAGCACAGGGGCCAAGCACTCATCTCCCAAGGACCTGGCCGGACCTCGACGCTTTGGTAACCAGCTGGAGACGCCGGACAGACAGAGGCTTCCCTGCGGAGGGAAGGTTCCCAAGTCAGCCTCCATTTCAGCTCTGTCTCTTATCATCACTCCAGGTACAACAGAATTAACTTAACAATGAGACACTGGTGTTAAGTGCTACACTTCGACCCAGACCGTTTACAGTTATAATCTGTTATCTAAATAGAAACAAAATGTTACCTGTTTAATTGTTCTCATTAATGACAGTTGGGATTATCTGGCTATAACTAGATGAAAATAGGTCAAATGTAACAAAAATGTTCCTGTGCTTGTTGCAGATGACTTTCCTGGTGGCCTCCAGCCCAGTCCCATCTCCCCACGCTCGCTGTCCTCCAACCCCTCGTCTCGTGACTCCTCACCCAGTCGGGATCTGTCACTCAGCCCTGGCAGTGTGAGGCCACCCATCATCATCCACACCTCAGGGAAGAAGTACGGCTTCACTCTGCAGGCCATCCGGGTCTACATGGGTGACAGCGACGTCTACACAGTGCATCACATGGTGTCGGTGGGTGTGGCTTCTAAGATTAAAATTGATATTTGCCTAAGACTCACAGCTACAACTGTGTCCACATCAAGTCATGTACTTCACTTTTGTGATCCCAACCCAGAGGAGAGTGGTATGAAAAGATGGTTATGTAAGGCAGTGTAACTCCTCTCCTCACACTCACTGTGTTGCTGTTTTAACAGAGTGTGGAGGAGGGCAGCCTGGCTCACCAGGCAGGTCTCCGCACTGGAGACCTCATCACCCACGTCAACGGAGAGTCTGTCCAAGGCCTGGTCCACCCTGAGTTGATAGAACTGTTATTGAAGGTATAACAGCTCACTGAGACTTTTGTGGCTTGCTGTCATTTAGTTTGAAATTCAGTTTAAGTTGAATTGTTTGTCCTTTAGCACAAATTAAATCTTTTACTCCTGTAAAATGTGTAGAGCGGCAGTAAGGTGGCGCTTCACACCATAGCACTTGAGAATACATCAATCAAAGTTGGACCAGCTCGAAAGACCAAACACACAGGCAAGATGGCTCGTCGCAGCAAGAAGAGCAGGAGGAGAGATAATTATGACAGGTTCGGCTTCCTCTCACTCTCTGCAGCTCTGCACTGTTACTCTGAACTCTTGTTTACTCTGGGAGGTTGGAAAAACAAACCTGCAAAATTCAGTCCTGTGTCTCCATCTAGTGTCGCACTGTTTCATGAGGTTGACTAGCAACTACGTGTATGTTCTGTTGTACTGCTGAATACCCTGCCTCGACATTTGTCAGTGCAGCTTTACACTATACACTTGTTTTTTTTATGTTGGTTTTAAAATGCATAGGTGTTAATATTTAAATAATTTTAATAATAATTTATTTATTTTAGTTATTAATGTTTTATTTACTGAAACAGATCATCCAAATTTTCAGTTTTGTGCATGTTTTTTTTAATACAGAAAAAACCTTGACTGTGAAAGAATAAAGATAATTCCAGTTAGATGTTGAAGTTGTGACGCTAACAGAGATTGACATTACATAAGAGAACCATCAGAACTCACAGAATATCCCCCGAAGTTTGTGTCTGTGCCGTTGCATAACTCACTGATCTACACCATGTCAAATATTTGACTCTTCTTCCTCTCCAAGGCGGCGAAGCATTTTGAAGAAGCTGTCTAAACAGAGTACAGTGATGCACGGCAGTCGCAGCTTCTCTTCAGGTCTCCATCACTCAGTTTCCTCCAGCGAGAGTCTTCCAGGGTCCCCAACACACAGCCTCTCCCCTGGCCCCTCCACTCCCTCCCGGAGCCCTGCACCTGATCATCAGGGCGTTGGTGAGTTTGGGCTTATTGATGTGAACATGAAATGGTTCTTGTGGGTAGAAAAGAAATAGGGTCAGTAGAGGCTTTGCATTTGCATTTTGAATCTTTGGAATATTCACAGATGATGCCTTGGTGATTATCTTGTATAGCACGGACTGTGTTCAAATAATGGTGCGTATAAATTTTGTACAATGTGAACTATTTAAAATTGTTTTGCTGCTTTCCAGAAAACAACTCTCCTCAGAGCACATCTCCTTGCTCCAGCTCTCCCAGTTCTCCCGCTGCACACATTCGGCCCAGCTCACTTCACGGCCTGAGCTCCAAACTCAGCACACAGCGCTTTAATAAGGTGGGCCGCCGGAAGTCAACCAGCAACATCCCGCCCTCACCGCTGGCCTGCAACTCCTCCTCGTCCTCTACCCAGCCTCTTTCTCCACAGCGCTCTCCCTCCCCACTACCAGGCTTTGCCAAAACTCTTCATACCTATCATGGCAAAACCCTGTCACCACCTACCATTGTTAGACACATTGTCCGGCCCCGCAGTGCTGAGCCACCGCGATCCCCTCTGCTGAAGAGGGTGCAGTCAGCTGAGAAGCTTTCTGGAGTGTATCTTGCTGATAAGAAGCCATATGCCCCCCGTAGGCACACACTGGAAGTGCCATTGTATGGTGAGGGGGACCTGCTGGGTGATTCCGAGGCAGAGGTTGCCTGTGGAGGCACTTACATCGGGGCTGACCACAGCAGGCTGGGAGGATACATCTGCAGTCAGAGGATGAGGGACTCTGGGATTGAACGATCAGAACAGTTGGTTGTGATGAGAAAGCTCAACTTGTCAGAGAGGCGAGACTCCTTTAAGAAGCAGGAGGCAGTGCAGGAGGTGAGCTTTGACGAACCAGAGGAGAAAACCAGCACCACGCTAACAGCGACCACCACGGCTCCAGGAGCCCATACACAACTTCATCAGCCGCAGCAGCTCAGGACAGCCTGGATAGTCACAGGAGCTCAGACCAGTGAGGAGGTGGAGCTGGAAGTGCCGGTGGTGAGGAGGTTCACATTAGTGCCCCAGATTGCTGTGCAGGGCTCGACAGAGAGTGAGGAGCAGGATGAATGGCAGCCATGTTCAGAAGAAGAGGAAACCACAGAGAAACCTGAGCCCAATGTCATTGTCACTTCATCTCAGCAGCAGCAGGCAGGACATCCTCTTACCGGCAGCAGTTGCAGTCAGGCGGCAGAAACCACTTCCACTCGCCCTTCAACAGAGACGACTGAGTGCAGAGTGGAAAGTCTACAAACAGGCCATCTGAGAAAGTGACAGCTCACCGCTGAACAAATTTCAATTTCAGATCTCTTCTTTCAAGCTTGACATGCACCTCTGCTGGTTTTTCAGTCTGAGTCAGATAAACTGGAAGCTGTAAATGCATTTACAGACCTGGCTTGCTGAAAGAGCATGGGAGATTTTACTTGAATTTTTTTTATTGTAAATATTTGCCTGAAGGCATTGCAGATGTTCTGGTTGTATTTATTACATTTGTAAACTATGATGAGTTGGTATCAGGGAAAGCGGGATGTTCTCATGAGTAGCTAAGGCTCAACATTTTTGTGTTTTATGTCTTTTGACAGGCTTTTTTTCTATAAATGTCTATTTTTTTAAATCAATGTTTATGGTACCAAGGAGTTTGATAATGCTGGTAATAATTGTTGTAGGACCAAAAGGTGTGAGAAGTAATTTTACAAGCTGAAATCATGCTTGTTTTTTTCTCCTCAGTGTCTGTTCAAATGTGAATAGCACAGTTTCCACTAGAATAATAATGCAACAGTATAATCTTGATCTTCATAAACTTTAGCTTGACCTTTGGTTCACACTATGAGCAACATGGTTGATGTGCAGTTTTGCCTACATTATACAGTTATAAAACTCATACTTTATGGATCAGGGTGAACACAAAAGCTACCAAATGTTAATTATGTTGCAAGAAAGTTGTACAAAACTGCTCATCTTTGCACTGCTGGAATTCTTCCATTTTGCACTTGTCAGACTCAAGTGTTCACAAAACAGTCTCATGTGTAAGAAAACAGAAGTCCTGAGTTACATTTACAGCAAGGGTAGCTGTGAGGCCCACGAACTTTGAATCTGTAAAAAATTTAATGCAATGTATTTCCACTGGCTGTTCCGTGCAGTATGAATTCATGGTAGCAGCATGGTTTTTCTAAAACATGGACTCAGTGAGTGCAGGGTTATTAAGACATTACAACTCAAAAGGGGTTTACAGGCCACGCTAACAGTGCAAATCGAATCAGTTGTGTTGGTTGTAATCTCAAAGATCAGTTTTTTCTGCTGGCTGAAGCTCTGGATGTTGTACAGTCATGTTTGTGATACCACATGATAGATGTAGCTCAGATTTGTTTTTCTTCCTGTGCACATTTTGTAAACATCTGTAAACACGGATCCAGCACAGCTCCATGTCTAGCTGGAATAACCGGTTGTATTCAAAGCATGTATCTAGCAGGGAAACCATTGAGCAGCCAAATTACTTCTTCTGAGCCAGGATGGAATCACAGCCTTGTTGTTTGTTTTGAACATTTTGGTTTAGGTTTTAAACATTCCTACAGTAACAACACATTTTGAACTTAGGAAGTGTTGTCTGTGTTTTTTTCTGAAATGGTAGCATTTGGTTTTTTTTTGGGTTTTTTTTTTTAAGAGCATGTGGGAGACACTATACCTGTTTGACCTGTTTACATCGGGGGGTGGGGGTGGAGTGCACTAATGTATTTTGACATGACTTTTGTAACTAAATGTGGAAGGTGAACTAAAAATAGCAGAGGGACACATTTACATTGAATCCAAACACAGGGCTTCTTTGAACAAAGGTTTTACGTCTTTGTATTGTGCAAATATTGATGTATATTTTGATAACTAGGTTGTGTATTATTCATGATCATGCACAGTGACAGTTTGTGGCACCAGGATTTTTGGGAGGTCTTTACAAAACACCTTTGTGGGATTCAAAACAGTATTTCACATCCATGGTCGATTGGATGTACTTTCTGCTACAGAGATGGAGTTTTGAGGTTGACTGTCTTCTTCGTCAGTGGCTCTTACTGACTTTTGTACCAAGTTTCTCTTCAGACTTCTGTTTATGTAGCATCAGATTTGTTGATGTGTTACTTAAATCCCTCTTGCTCAAAAAAAAAAAAAAAGATCTTCTCCTTAAACTTTGTGATGATGGCCTTTCCAGGTGCTGTCGTTGTGTTAGTGAACAGTGCGGCTCTGTTATTCCTGCAGTCTGGAAGAATTGTTTACAATGAACCAATGTGCTATGTACTGTATAAACATGGTATATCCTGTGGCTGTATATGATGAAACTACCCTCTTTGATACCATAGAAGAAAAGTACACGTAAAAGTTACATATCTGTTTTGTTTTGTAGAAATTGTTCTTGAAGAGTACATTAGCACCAAGCATTTTCTGTATTTGCATCCTTTTAAGACTATTCTCAACTTTATGAAGTTGCATGGAGGAAAAAAACTTTAATTTACTGGACAAAGAGATGAGTGGGAAACTTTCTACCAGAGAAACTTACCTGTTGGCCCATGTATATACTCATCCTGGTTTGTACAGAACTTTTTACATATGCACATTTTGCAGGATGAATTCAGACACAGTCGCACATTAAGGGACCACAGATGCTATAAAGTGTATTTTTAAAAGATTATATAGTTAAAAGATATTTCACTAATACACAGAAAACACACCAGTCTTAAATGATACAGAAGGATGTTCACAACAAGTCCCATCTCTGATTACTCTGCATTTGCATGTAGGCTTATGTTTTCACTTCATTTATACCATTTTTTAAACCTGCATTTTTTTATGGAGCGCATATGAAGCTGTTGCTTTGCAGATCTCTACGGACTGAAAGTTTCATGTCATAGTAGTAGTAAGAGACGGGAGCTTCGGCCACCGGAGGTCAGCGCAACATCTTCTCAGTCAGTTTTAAACTTACTCTTTTTGAACAAACTGGCAGGTCGACCTGTTGTACTGTACATGTACATGTGTTCTCTTGTGGACTCTTCTGTTCAGTGCATGCTGCATGAGAAAAGCACACCTCTATAATACTTAATTGCATGGTATACTGGCGTTGTCGCCCTGTACTGTGTTTTCTTGTGCAACAAATAAAATTTGTATTTCTCTTGGGAGCCTCTTTAAATCTGACTCCGCTAGTGTTTGAGTTTTATGGATGTTATGATTGTTTACTACACAGAGTGCTCTTACACAACTTCATCTCACATTTTTACTTTGTGTGCAATCATCTAACAAGTAATGCTGCTAATACTGTAAGAGACATTGCAATAAATATTTTGAGATTAAAGTAAACGGATTGCAAGCCAGTGACTTCTGTGCCGGTCCCAAGCCTGGATAAATAGAGAGGGTTGCATCAGGAAGGGCATCCGGTGTAAAAACATGCCAAATTTAAACATGCGAATCATCAGTGTGAATTCCATACCGGATCAGTCAAGGCCCGGGTTAACAACAACAACCGCCACCAGTGCTGTTGACCTACAGGGTGCTGG